TCTATTAATTGGGTGCACACACTGTATTGTAGGTATCGAACCACGTTTCATCCAGATAAAATACCGGTCTTCCTTCATCTCTAAATTAGTAGTCGTTTCTTCAGTTAATAAGGCGATGGGAATCCATTATTTATGATCACTTATTAATTTTCTTGTATCTAAAACTAATGTAATTCAAAATTTTGATAAAGTTGAAGGCGAATACGTAATATCTTTCTTTAACATGTTGATCAAATTGTAAATTACTCTTCTAATTACCTCAGCGTCTTTTTCATTTGCTGCTTTATAGGTAGAAAAATCACTCCGATTTTTATGAGGTTAAATTCTATTTGTAACAATTTTCCACACTGTTGTATATGGCATCCTTGTCAATCGAGATGTTGCCTTGATGAGAAATCTACCGCCTTCTGGATTATCTTCTTGTACCGTTTGATAAGTATTCCTAATAATTTCTTTGGCATCATCAGATAAATGTAAACGTGTTTTACACTTAGCACTAGATTCAATAATTAAAGCTATAGAATAATAATTACAGGTATATCTTATCTTTAACTAACGCACTTGCTAATGATTTTTTAATTTTTTTTTTTATTTAAAGATAGAAAGCTTTATTATTGGAAGTCCATTTTGTTTCAAATGAAAACGATATAAAACAGATAATAATCTAACTGCATAAAATTCACGTAATGAGCGCATAGAACATTATAATTATTGTTTTTGCTCGTTTATAATTGATTCCAAACAACTTAATTTCAGATGAGTAAACTAATTCTTCTACAGTAAAATTTTTTTTAATACGAAGTTTAGTATTGCCACCCGTTGCAAAGGTAATTGAGGGATTAGTAACAGCAACAAATGAAAATTTCTTATATGTTAACGGAAACTATAACTAGATAATAAAGTTAGTTATTAGCAATGGCGTGTAAAGAATCGATGAGTTATACATTCTGCAAATAATTTTTTCTATCCGTATTCATCTTCCCCATGTTTATCCAAGTTTGAATCTTATTAAGGTCATTTTAAAGGTTGCTATATTTTCTGGTGATGCCTTAGTCGGAATATAGCGGTGTCTTCTACAAAAATTTGCTTGTTCCTTATTGGTGGGCAACTGTACAGGAAATGTATAAAATTAGTCCCAAGCCACTTTCTCGGCTGTTATTGATCTTAGACGTGTGTATTTATTATAGCCCAGTCTGGTTAAAAAAAGGTCGAAAAATTAAAAAAAAAAACTAGGGTTACTAGATGACGAATAGATGAAAAAGTACTCGTATTTTTACCTTGCGTTTTTTTTAAACAATAATTTATGGTCACAATTTGATTTTTTGTCTATAAGTTTTTTTCCTTATGTTTTACATAAACAATATTTATATCATTTTTTTATATCAAGAATATCTTTATTTTCCCGTTTTTTAAATTAAAATTGATAAATAATTTACAGAGATATTTACAAAAATTCAGTTTTTTTCAATAATTTATAAATTTTATTAATGTTTTTATTCTATGAGAAACTGGAACAAGAAATTGAATCTTTACCCAAAGAAGACACAATTCTGGTATTGGGAAATTTTAACGCTCAAATAGGCAAAGAAGACTACATTAACCAAGTTGCAGGTAAATATACATTACATGAAAAAACAAATGATAATGGTCAAAGATTATGCAACTTAGCAACTAGCACCAATATGATTGTCAGTAGTACAAAATTTGCACACCCTGTATACCACAAAGTAACATGGGTCTCACCAGACCAAAAAACATGGTCCCAAATAGACCATATACTCATCACAAAGAGAAAGCAAACATCGATAACAGACGTGAGAACATACAGAGGTGCACATGCAGACACAGACCATTTCATGGTTACCGCAACGATAAGACAAAAAGTCAAAAGAACGCTAAAAAACAAGACAACAAAGAACAAATGGTACATAGAAAAATTAAATGCTACAGATAGAAGAATTAAATATGCAGAAGATATAAGCAAAAAACTGAAGGAATACTGTGAATATACAGAGGATGTTGAAACAGAATGGATCAATATAAAAAAATGTATAAATGAAACAGCTTCTGAACATGTAGGGATAGAGAGAAAGAACAAAAAAGAAGAATGGTATAATCAAGACTGTCATAACATGTTAAAAAAGAAGATGGAAATAAGACAAAGGTGGATCAGAACAAATAGACAAGAATATAAAGAAGAATACAACAAATTAAGGACTGAATGTAAGAAACAAATAAGAAAAATTAAACGAACCTGGTTAAATGATAAGATAAATGAAATCGAAAAAGAAAACACAAATGGAAACACAAAAGCATTTTATAAGAAAATTAGCGAGCAGAAAAAAACCTTCAAAGGAAAGATAAAAGGCATAAAGGATAGAAATGGAAAAGTATCAGAAAATGATAAAGAGTTTAAAGAAATCTGGACTGATTATTTTAAAGAATTATTAACAGTACAAGAGGACGAAGACTATAATGAAAATGTGGAAGAAGAGACCACGATGATAGAAACTGAGCTAGAAAAACCAACGAGAGATGAAGTTGAGGAAATTATAAACAGTAGTCGCAACGGTAAAGCACCAGGTATAGACGGTATAAACATGGAACTAATAAAATATGGTGGACATGAACTCAGAGAAAAAATATACCAATTAATAAAATTCATATGGGACGAAGAAAAGATGCCAGAAGAATGGCACAAAGGACAAATTATCACAATCCATAAAAAAGGAGACCAACAAATGTGTAATAATTATAGAGGACTGACATTGTTAAACACAGCGTATAAAATCATGTCAACCTTAATACAACGAAGACTAGCCAAAGCGACAACAAATATCATGGGACAGTATCAATGCGGATTTATTAGGGGAAAGTCAACAACAGATGCCATACATATGGTAAAGCAAATTATGGAGAAAGCTTATGGATATAAAATAGAAATTGAACTGCTTTTTATAGACTTCCAACAAGCATTTGATTCAATAAACAGAGCGAAATTACTTACAGCTATGAGAGAAATGAGAATACACAGCAAATTAAGACGATTAATAAAAATGACAATGAGCAAAACCGTAGTAACTGTAAAAACACAAGAAGGAGACACAGAAGAATTTGTTATAAATAAAGGTGTACGTCAAGGAGATTCATTATCTGCAACTCTGTTTAATCTTGCCCTGGAATATATAGTCAGAAAAATCAACAAAGGTACACTTAGAACGAGAGAGGGACAAATAATAGCATATGCCGACGATATTGTGATAATAACAAAGAACAGAAAAAAAAATGGAAAGTATGTTAAAAGAATTGGTAGCAGAAGGGAAAGTAATGGGATTAGTAATAAATCAAGAAAAAACAAAAATAATGAGATTTGACAAAAAATATGAAAACAATAAGGTTAGACTGGGAGAATATATATTTGAAGAAGTAGAAAAGTTTAAGTATTTGGGAATATTATTAGCAAACAATGGAGAAAGGGAAACAGAAATTAAAGAAAGGATAATTACAGCAAATAAGGCATACTATGCAAATAAAAAGCTTCTAAAAAATAAATTACTGAGCAAAAAATCGAAAATGAAAATATATAAAACAATAATTCGACCGACTATGATGTATGCTGCCGAAACCCTTAGCATGATAAAAAAACAAGAGGAAGACCTTAGAATACTAGAAAGGAAAATACTAAGAGCAATATTAGGACCAATAAAAATTAATGAAAACCAATATAGACAAAGAACGAATCATGAACTACTAAACGAAATTAAAGAGGATATAGTTTGTAAAATAAAACAGCAAAGGGCAAAATGGCTAGGACATATATGGAGATCAGGACCATCTACGACAATATTCTCAATATTGGAATGGACACCAGCTGGTAAACGAAGACGTGGAAGTCCAAGATCTACATGGCTACAAGAAGTAACAAACGATCTCAACAGGGCGGCAAATTTTATTTCTTAATGTTTATAATCAATGAAAATATGATTTTATTAAAAATAGTCCATAACTTTGTTCCTATTGGTCATAGAAGGTTTTTCTTTTTTTAATGTAAGTTTTTTTACTAGCTAGCCAATGGTTGTACGTACAAGTCTGTAGCTTGAAAAATATAGAAGTTATTACAATTGTTTATAAGTAAAAAACATACCCCTTTTTCAATCGTTTATTTTGTAAATAATTTCGATCAAAACGCAATATGCATTTAACTTCTGAGATAGTTTGTCTAAAAGAATCCTATGAAATTTGCTGAATGTGTCTAGCATCATTAATAGAGCAAGTTCAGTAGTTAACATTTTATTTTGTTAATAAAAAAAATTAATAAAATTTATAAATTAGTGCAAAAAAACTGCTTTTTTGCAAATATCTCCATAAATTATTTATGAATTTTAATTTAAAAATCGGGAAAATAAAGATATTCTTGATATAAAAAAATGATATAAATATTCTTTATGTAAAATATTAGGGAAAAAACTTAGAGACAAAAAATCAAATTGTGGCAATAACTTATTGTTTAAAAAAAAACGCAAGGTAAAAATACGAGTACTTTTTCATCTATTCGTCATCTAGTAACCCCCACCTATTTCTTAAAAGCTTCAGATATCTGCGAAAAATTTTGCCGTGAAATCGATGATTTTTTTCATAACCAGACTGGGCTATTATTATACTTAACGAGGAAATGTCGATTGGTAATATAATGGCAATAGGAAACTTAACAAAAAGGTATGCTACACTCTGTGTGGCCCTAATCTATACACGCCTTCTTTTGTTTATTGTATTATTCTGAAAAAAAAATTGGTGACTATATATTCATTTTCTTCATTTTTCTGCTTTAGATATGAGAACTATTTAAGTAATTTTTTATTTAGAAAAGTATGTAGATTTGAAAACGTTCTTAAATATTGAAGTCAAATCCAATCAGAAGTTACTGAATAGTACATTAATATCTTGCAACAATTTACGTTTTAGGGTGATAATCACATTTTTAAAGTTACCATTATTTTTAGGTACTACTAGGAGAAGTTCCAGCAGCCAAAAAACAGATGGTAGCTGATTTTATAGCCAACCTTTACAAACTCTACGTGGACTTGTACTTCACATACTTAGAAATCAATCCGTTGGTCGTGACTGATAAGGAGATCTACATTTTGGACTTAGCCGCCAAATTAGATGCCACTGCCGATTTTATATGCAAGCCACAATGGGGCGAAATCGATTATCCTCCACCTTTCGGACGTGATGCATACCCAGGTAACGTATAGATTTTATATATGTTTAGAACATAAATATCAGAAAATATTTCGTGGCTGTATATAACCTAGGCTAAGATAAAGGTAATGTTATTACCATTAGGAAACAAATCAGATAGTCTTTTCAATAATCCGAGTCCTAGGGGCGTCGCTGCGGTGTCCCAGGGGCGTCTCGTGTGAGCGTGGACTTTTAATATAGAAAATATATTTATTTGTTTTTAAATAAGTATAAAATATATGTATAATAAATAAATCAAATAAAAAATATAACATCAAATCGATAGACCCTTGAATTAACCGAAATTATTTAAAAAATTGTTTAATTCGAAAATTATCCGATGATCTACGAAATTATCAGAAAATCGGATAATTATCCGGATGTCGGCAACACTGGAGTCGAGAGAGCGCCGGGCACATTATGTTTCGCCGATCGGCTCCCCTACCCCATGTTCCCTATTATCGCGCACGTTATGTCATTTAGTCGAAACTTTTGTTTTATTACGAACGCGGAGTTTTTTTGCTATCAACAATGGATATTTATATTTAAAAGAATAGAAAACGAAGTGAAAAATCAGGCGAGAGCAGTAACGTTAATTTAAGTAAAAAGAAGAAATATAGGAAATATGACGACCAATATTTGAATTTTCGATTTACCTGTATTACTAAAGGGAATGTAGAACTTCCACAATGTGTTGTTTGTCACAAAATGTTGGCGACTGAAAGTATGCTTACTAATAAACTAAAACGGCATTTGGAATCAACTCACAGTCATTTACAAGGTAAGCCAAGAGACTTTTGTGTAAGAAAATTGCGAGAGCTAAAATATCAGACCACAGTTTTGGTTTTAAGAGCATCAATTCCTACCAAAATATTGCTCGCCTTTTACATGGTAGATTACCGTATTGCCAAATGTAAAAACCGCATATGATCGCTGAGGAACTGATCTTACCTGTAGCGGTTGATATGGTAACAGTAATGGTTAGAGAATCGGCAAGTAAAGAAATAAAAAAGGTACCTTTGTCAAACAATACGGGTAGTCGCTCTCATCAAAACCAAGGCTCCAAGTGTAAAATGGACACATTGTCATACACAGAGAGACCTTAGCAACAAAGAACGTTACATCTGAATTAAGTATTGTGATGGATAGCATTATTAAAGTGGTGAACTACATTAAACCACGACCCGTGAAATCAAGACTTTTCCATAAACTTTGTGAAGAAATGGGGGCTGAGCAGAACTCTCTAATTTATTAATGCAACTCTTGTTGGCTGTTCAAAGGCAACGTACTCGCACGGGTATACAAATTAAGAAATTAATTTTACACGTATCTACATGCAGAAACACATGATGATGCGAAGAACTTTATTAATTCAGAGTTTATAATAAAATTAACATACCTTTGTGACAAATTTAACAAATTAAATGATCTTAATAAGTCTTTGCAGGGAAACAATATCCTGCAATTGTCAGATAAAATTACTAGGTTCCAGAAGAAGTTGCTCTTATGGAAGAGAAAATTAGATCAAGAAATTTACTGTTTCCCTGCTTGACAAGGGAAAGCTTTATTCTACAAGAAAAATCGATAGTAATTCTTGATCCCCCTTTAAAAAATATGTTTACACAACACGTGTTGTCATTGAGCGAACACTTTGAGAAATATTTTCCCGAAGATATGGAGCAATATGACTGGGTCAGAAACCCTTTCCTGTCATTCACGCCATCGACACTTTCAACAGCGGAGGAAAAACAACTAACAGAATTGTCCTGGGATTCCAGCCTAAAGCTTTAATACTACAAGGACAAGAATTTTGGAGCTTACTTTCTCATGAATATCATGCCATGAGCACTGCTGCATTAAATGTTAAAGGTACGAAACGGGTCTTTTTGCAGTTGCAGTCATAAAAAACAAGTACAGGTCAAATATAAACTTAGAAAAAGAAATGAGAGTGGCAATTTCCAAACTGGAGCACCGGTTTCATAAGCTGTGCTCAAAAAAGCAACACATTAACCAGCCAGTTACATAAATAAATATCCCTTTTCATTTTTTTTGCCAGTTTTGATTTCGTTCTCAATTTCTAATAAAAAATATAAATTTTCAAATAGTGTTTTTGTTATAACTATAACCTGTGACTAGGCTAGTACTAAAATTGGTAAGTATTATTGGGGGTTGGTAAAAATATAGCAAAGTCCCAAGGGCGTCACAGTTCGAATAAGTTTGAGAAGACCTGATCTAGCATATATAGCGAAGAATCGAATATGTAAGAAATATGTACAATAAGCCAATTGGCTAAAGTACGACCGGTGTAAAACAGTTCGTCTTTTAGAGAAGAAAAATAAAAAATACTGCAAAGGGCGATTTCTATATCCGTCTCACTGGGTTTTGTACTCGGTAAGTTATTGTTCTGTACTTCGCTACTGATTTTCAATACTTTTCATAATCTAGTTTCGTATTAATATCGGTTTTCCTTTTCTGAGTTTCCAACATACACTACCTTTGAACGAGCAAACCACTCAATCGACCAACTAATTTTGAACCATGAACGTATAAATAAAGATTATATTTAATAAAGATCTTTATTTATACGTCCATGTTGTGAACCTATTAAAATTATAAATATAGTATTCTCTTATTCAATTATATAAATTGTTATTAACTTGTCGGTTAATTGCAAGTAAAAACATTTTTCTACATGTGTATGTAAATTTTTTTTCATTTAATTCTACAAGGCTAAATATATTAAATTTAAAGTTTCCAAAAGTAACAAATTATTCAAAAAAATTGTTTAGTTAGAATGTTATTCCAAGTCTCTATACTTTTTTCTAATTGTATATGTGTCAGTATATGTCATTTGTGTTCAATAGTATTGATTATTGTTTTTTTTGTTTCATAAATTTTATACCCTCTACCGATAAGAATTGTTATTAGAACATGATGAAAAATACATTTAAATGAGACTGGTTGTCAATTCAGTTATTTAAAAAGTCCTAAATATCAGCAGTAATTAATGATTTGTTATTATAAAGGTTATTTGTAAACATCACGTTTTATGATATTTTTACCATTTAAAATCGTCTTCTTCTTCTTATAACTTCTTGTATCTTTAAAGTCTGTTTCTTCTTCAATATTAGCCTCCTAAATTGTCGCCACCACCTTTTTCTTGGTCTGCCAATACTTTGTCGTCCATTTGGTGACTTATCTCGTGCTATTCGTACTATTCTATCCTTTGCCATTCTACTGATGTGTTCGTTTCACTCCTGTTTTCGTTTTGTCACAAATCCATTTATGTCTTCTATATTGCATGCTCTTCTTATGTTTTCGCTTCTCTCCCTATTTAACAGACTTTTCCCTGATATTCGTCGGAGTATTTCCATCTCTGTTGTTTCTAGCAGTCGTGTCTTGTCTTGTCTCCGCTGTGTATGTTAATATAGGTCTAATTGCTGCTTTATAGCTTCTTGTTTTTGTGTCTTGTCGTAGGTGTTTGTTCTTCCAGATTGTGTCGTTAAGAGATCCCGTTGCTGTATTTGCTTTTAAGCTTTGTTCAACTTTAACTTCTTCTTCAACATCTCCGTAACTAATTATATCTATTCCCAGATATCTAAACCTTGCTTCCTGCTTTATTATTTTCCCATCAATTTCAATTTGACATCCTAGTGGGTATTTAGATGTTGTCATACATTTCGTTTTTTTCTGCTGATACTTTCATATGACCTTTATGACCTTTACGTACTACTTGTATTATTTCGTCCATTATTATATTAAATAGAAGTGGGCTTAACGAGTCACCCTGTATGACTCTGCTTTGTACTGGTATAAACTGTGTTAGGTTTCGGTTTATCTTTGTCTGTATTCAATTATGGAGGTAAATGTTTTCGATGGTTTGTATAATATTGATTGGTATATTTCTTTTATACAGTAGGTGTAAGATGTCTTCGACTTGGATGCGATCGAAATCCTTTGTCAGGTCTATAAAACACATATGCTGGTTTATTGTACTGGATGGCCTTTTCTGTGATTTGTCTTAGTTAGTACAAATACGGCGTCTATGCAGGATCTTCCGGATCTTAATCCTTGTTGTTCATCTGATAAAGTTGTTAGTTTATTGATTTTGTTGGTTACGACTTTTGTGGTAAACTTAAGTGCGATGTTCAGTAGATTTATACCTCTTTAATTGTTGGGGTCTTCTTTATCTCCTTTCTTGAACATTTTTATCATTATGCTGTTTCTCCATGCGTCTGGTATCTTGCAGTGCAATATTAATTATTATATAATATATAAAAATTATTTTAAATATAAGTATTATCTCATATTGTGTAATTTTGTCCTACTATTACAAAGTAGCATTTATTAAATAGATAATACGTTTCAATGTGTGTTTCACCTAACCCAACCTTAACCCTAAAGGTCTCCTCCAACATTGGAAAAGAATCTATAAAAATTTTACACTTTCCGTTTTTTAACAAACACTTTTGGGAGTATTAATGAAAAATGGTATTCAACACATCAATTATTATTAACGAATATTAACAGACTAACGAATATTAATTAATATAGATGTAAAAATAAACAGCTAGTTGCAAAACAGAGTAAATTGTAAAATAGTAATCTATTATAGCTACACAACAGATAACCTGGTAAACAATTCAGTTTTTTTTCATGTAGAATAAATATAGAATTCGAATTAAAATTCCGTCTCAAACTAGATTTTTAATTAAGGTTTAAAAATATCCAATGTTTTTGTATGGAATTTTTATTTATCATCAATTCACAACCTGGAAAATATCTCGGAAAATGTTGAAAAAGCATTGTTTTGTTTATTCAGAAAAGAGTTAATGTCTTTAGACTAAAATTAACGCAATTTTCAATAATTTTTGTAGTGTTATCTGAAGTTGGAATGTAATGTTGTCATTAAAATTGGTACTTGGTTTTTTTTTTAGTAGTAACCAGACATATTCTGGTAGGTTGCTAGACTCGCCAAAATAACATTTTTTGTGACTTTTGGTCTACGGATTTTTTTCTCATCTGATCGACGGCCAAGACCGATGAGAACGTTCGCCTATCTACCCTACCCACCATCTGGGGCGCGCCCTATGAACAATAAACTACGCACTGGGCGAATTAGACTGAGACGACTGATTAACTATAATTTCAATATACTTTATTTTCCTATCTAATGGTGTCCTTTCTCTTTGTTTCTTCTTTGTTTGATCAGCTTCAGTTATCTATTTGCTACTCTATGTATACAGTTTGCAATAATTTATTATGTGAAATGTTTAGAAGAAAGTAAACTCTTGGCATTAAGTAAAAAGCTCGATGTGTTTCCAGATACAACTCCATTTTTACTGAATCCTCACGAAATAGTGCATTGCGATCCCGCATCTCCCCGTTACAAAATCGTCACAAACAGAAAAACACTACTGTCTTTGGTCACCTTATCCATCATTTACAATATCATTTTTTTTTCTTATTCATTCATTATTTCGTTTTCTTACTTTTTATTTCAATTTTTATTTTAATTATTCCTTTCTAGCTGACATTTACCACATCAGTACTACATGGTGTGCAGACATTGCAGACGAATAATTGTAACAAAAAAGCCTGTGCTCTCTAATTTTAATCTCGTAATGTTGCTGTTAATTGAATTCTTCAGCATTATTAACACATGTCAAATTTGATATTACAGAGGAAGCCTATATAGCCGACTTAGATTCAAAATCTGGAGCTAGTCTTAAACTGACAATTCTCAATAAATCCGGTAGAATATGGACAATGGTAGCTGGAGGTGGAGCTTCTGTTATTTACAGTGACACCATCTGTGATTTAGGAGGAGCTAGTGAACTCGCCAACTATGGGGAATACTCAGGTAAAACAGTATTTAGAAAATTATCACTTTCTTGCTAATTTCTGACTGATTTTTAGGTGCACCAACTGAACAACAAACTTACGAATATGCCAAAACTATTCTTTCCTTGATGACGCAAGAAAAACATCCTAAAGGAAAAGTTTTGATTACCGGAGGAGGTATTGCCAATTTCACTAATGTAGCTGCCACTTTCCGCGGTATTATCACCGCTTTGGTAGAGTTCAGAGAAAGGTTGATAGAACACAAAATCTCCATCTTCGTCAGAAGAGCTGGACCCAATTACCAGGAAGGTTTAAGGAGAATGAGAGAAGTCGGACAGACTTTGGGTATGTATTGGTATTTAGGCAGTTGATGTGAAAATTTCTCTTCCTATTATTGGAAAATGGTAATTTTTTAATCAAAATCGTGTTTTTATCGATTACATACAGTCCTCTCTCTCTATAACGATATGCAAGGGACCGGGAATTTTCATCGTTATAAGGAGAGATCGTTATACAGAGAGAGACAAAATTCGGTACTGTAATATTAATAATACTGTACTAAATAACCTATTTTAATTTAAAAAAATTATCAAAACGAATATAAATGACTTAACATTGTATTCCACATAGATTTATTAACGAATAATATAAGCAATACAGTATAAAAAATGACTGTGCAATTAAAACATGTGTACTGTACAATAAAAAAATAAAATGCTATTGTAAAATATATTTAGCCTACGTTATCAAAAAAATCTGTCACCTTGGTCTGTCTTCTTTTCCCTTTCCACAGAACTGACCTGATCTTGTCCTGAAGACGCATCGAATCTTCTACAGCACTCATATCGTCTTCCTGGTGGATGAAAAATCGATGCAGTACTTTTGCCGCATCCAATGCCTGCTGAGGGGTCGGAGCTGGTTCTGACTCTGCTTCCACTTCAGAGTCACTGTTTTCTTCTTCTTCTACACGAACTGCTTGCAGGATGTCCTCGTCAGAAAGTCCAGATGTTGTAGCTACATTTTTATCAACTTCTTCAAAATCTGTTAGCTCTTCCGGTCCGTAGGTGATAGTAAATTCAAACTGTCTAGCCCAAACATCTAATGGCAGGTCATCTTCATCATAAGCCAATCCTTGATCTTCCAGCCATCCTGCGTGTTTGAAGGAATGTTGTATTGTATTACTCGTCACCTCGTCCCAGGATTTACTAATCATTAGGATGGCGTCAAGAATGTTTAGTTTAAGATCGCCATTATTCTCAACCAATTCCATCAAAAGTCTTCTCCTGTAATGGTTTTTTAAACTCTTGATGACACTTTGGTCCATGGGCTGAAGGGCACTGGTTGTGTTTGCTGGCAGAAAACAGAGTTTGATGTTTTGAAGGTCGTGCAATACAAGATGAGCAGGACAATTGTCTACAAGCAAAAGAATTTTTTTTCCCTTTAAGCTCGATATCCCACTTTCTTATCGCTTCTTCAAAAATTTCCGGGGTCATCCACGCACTCTTGTTTGCTTTATATGTCACCGGTAGATTTTTTATGTTTTTAAAGCAACGCGGGTTTTTCGACTTCCCTATCACTAACAATTTTCGCTTCACCGAACCTGTCATGTTAGCGGCTACTAAAACTGTAATGCGTTCCTTAGAGAGCTTTCCACCAACGCACTTTTCCAATTTAAATTTTATAGTTCTATTGGGTGTCATTTTAAAAAACAATCCAGTCTCATCCGCATTGAAAATGTCGTCTGACGCATATCGTGCCTTCAGTCCAGGCCACACGTTTTCTAGCCAATGATCCGTTACGTTTTTGTTAACATCGCGAGCCTCTCCGCTGATTTGGCCGTAGTTGATCTTGTGCCGCATCTTCCACTTGCTCAGCCAACCCTCAGATGCCTTAAAATTCTCAATTCCAAGTTCAGTTGCAAAAAATTCAGCTTTTGTCCTGACCACAGGCCCAGAAAGTGGAATATGGTTCATACGCTGCTGCTGGAACCACTGAAGCATAGCGCGATCTAAATCTTCGTGCTGAGGTTTCCGCAACTTCTTCCTGCTACCGCCCTCCATCTCCGCTTTAAGCCACTTTTTTCTGTCCTTCCATATCGTAGCCACAGTTGACTGAGACAGCCCCGTCCGGCGAACGACATCCGATTGCTTTTCACCTTTCTCTATTGCTCGAGTTATCGATAGTTTTTCCTCCACCGAGAGCACTTTACGCTTTTTTGAAAACATGTTGACTGTTGGCACACTAAGACGCAACTCAAACTGGTAATTAAAAGTCGTCAATAGATGACAACATCTGTGTGATAACAGTTCATTACGCCGCCCGAACAATAAACGTCACTTAACCCTCTCATAAGAAAGAGTGTATGCCGCATTCCTTAAACGCAAAACAAAACAACCGCTGAACAATGACCTTTTCATTCGTGACTCAGGTAGTCTGAACTTTAAATACAATAACATATTTGTCGACCCCCTCTGTGGCTCAGTGGTAAGAGCGCCTGCCTTTAAATCTAAAGGTCGTGAGTTCGAATCCCACCTGGGTGGAAATTTTCGTTTATTAAAAAAAAAAATTAATAAATGAAAATAATTTCTATCCTTGTGTGATCGGTACACACCGGAGGGACCGCAGACGTTCGGATACAATTAGCGTCTCTTAGCAAAGACAATGACGTCGACTTTGCTAAGTATCAAGACAATTACTCTACACCTACACACACACACACACACTACACTAGCTTACTGTAACAACTCACTGTACCATGCCAATGACCATTAGTTGTCGACGCATTAAACTCAATAAAAAAAAAAAAAAAAAAATATTTGTCATCAAATATTGAACGTTAAAAAAGTTATCGCTATAAAGAGAGAACGATATCGGTATAGAGAAAGAATTAATACATTGTTCTTATGACGAACCAACCAACGTTTACTATTTTCATCGTTATAGAGGAATTATCGTTATATAGGGAATCGTTATAGAGAGAGACTACTGTATTTCTTAATATTCAGAGGGAGATGAAAGACAAACGAAGAATTAAGTAAACAGGGGAAAATCTTTTACAAATAAACCTTTGTGGATATTATAAACCCATGGATTTTGAGACATTTTCATCATGTCTTTTGTTTAAGGAAATCAATTCCTTTTAATTATCTTATTATCTTAAAAATTTAATTTTTACAGGTATTCCTTTGTACGTATTCGGACCTGAAACTCACATGACTGCTATTTGTGGTATGGCATTGGGTACTCGTACAATTCCACCAGAAAATCATGTAGAAACTGCCACAGCAAATTTCGCTCTTCCTAGCGGTGAAAAAGAACCCAACAAACAGCATCTAGCAAGCAAAGATGGCGCCAAACCAGCAGCTCCTCCGGCAAGAAATTTGGTGGTATGTTAATTTATATTTGTCTTCCATTTGGAACCCAGTGCAAGTACAATAATGATCACATTGGACCGTGATTTTAAATAATGAAGTAAAAAACGATGTGTACGATTTTTTCCAAATTTAGAAGTACCTTGTTTCCGAGCTATTGATCCAATAGGAATAATTTTTTTTTCATTGATAGCTTGATTATTTTGTAAATTTACTGATTCATGTTTCTACGATTATAGTAAATATGTAATTTTATCTTCAAAAATGCAGATGATTGTTTGTAATTTCAGACTGTGTTGCTGTATAAAAGCAGCATATTTTATTTTGTGCGGGGAAAGAAAATCTTCAAATGACACTATCCTACCTATACACACGATAGTAGAAATTCTACCCACTAAAACATTCATCTGTCGAGAAGGAACACGCATGAGCTAGTACTTTACCATACACCTTCCACTCCCTCATCCGCTTTCTATCGCAGCCACTCTACTACTGCATTCTAAAATTACAAAATTCTGGATATGTTCTTCCGCTCCCTCTTCAATCTCTCTTTGACCACCGTTACCATGATATCATTCATGAAATTCCAATCCCTCTCGTTACGGAGCATTAGTTCAACCACCACCTCCACTGTAAGCCTCTTTCCTAACTGGACCTCACACTTCCGTCCTTCATTTATCCATGCCTTGCATACAGAGAGTATTTATACTCTCCTTTCGGTGTCCAGCGCCCTGATTTCGGAACACCTAGTTAGACTGTATCCGCGCTGTCTTCACTCTTTTTTCTGCTGTAATACCTCTCTCGATCTTAATAAAAAGGTATTTCTTAAACACATTTGGCTTTTCCCATCTCTCTTCTTGTACTTTTCCACTTTTCCAACTTTTCTTACCACCTTTGACGATATTCTACGACCAGATATTTCTACGACTTGTCCTGCAGTTTTCCTCAAATGACCGCGAACTTAAATCCAACGCCGCCACCTTCTGAATGTTTTCCACTACATCATCAAGTCATCTCTTTCGTGGCCTTCCTTTGGATCGCCGGTTAATGGTGAGCATTTTTTTCTTTTCTTTGATTTTTCGGGTTTTAGGTCAGATACCGCCACGCTTCCACACCAAGCTGATGGACATCTAGAATTACGTCATCTAGCCAACTCTAGCCTTCAAGTTTATGTTACTCAGTCTTTTTGGTGTCATTAATGCGGACATACGCTCCAGACGACCCAAACATTTTAACACTTTTGATGTCAGCCACAAAATTGGCTCCGATTCGGAATACCGAGCTCTTTTGTGCGTGTACGTCATTGCTCTTGCTCTCTTATTTCCCCGTATGTTTTACTTTTCCATTTTTTAGATGTAAATCGAAGAAACCGTCTGGATTGTCTTAAACCTTGAAGCCATTTTCTTCAATGTCCTCAATGTTACGTAATAACCCGAGGTTCCCTAAATTTCTTTATAGGTTCTTAGTTTCTTTTTTTTTTTTTAATATACTTTTGTTCCATCATACCGTTGAACCATAGACATCAGGAATTTAGATAGCGAAAGAGATTCGAAATGTGATAACTTCGATGTTTATATATTTAAATCATAATTTATTGGTCTCAAAAAATGTATACATAGTTCCAATATTCAGTGGCCTCTCCCTACGAACAGTGCGGATTGATCTTCCAGTGAGCAAGTCTCTTTTGTTGTTTATCTTTCACCAATCTGAAGCTATCTCAAGTTTTAACTCTATATATGCTAAAACTTTTACACCCCTGATAATTGCGCATTACACCGCTGCTAAAACTTCAGATACCTACAGATAGGCGAGAGAAAAACATATATATTGACTTGACTAGTGACATTGCATGACGTGCAATGACTGGTAGATCGGTACACATATTACTACATTTGCACTTACAATACTTTAACAGAAAATATTAGACAAAAAAGTACTGTTAAGTGAAGTAGAAATCACAGTTTTCTATTTTAGTTATCGTTAATCGTCAATATTAAACGCGTAAAAGATAACAGTAAAATTACAAAATAATCAATCGTGAATTCGAAATTAATTAGGAAATCAGTGGTGTTAAAATTTGGGAAAAATTTCGTCGTGTTTTTGTTTGTAAACAAACCTTTCGTTGAAATCCGGAAAAACTACGGAAAATTTGGCAATGGTTTCCAAATATAAGTTAGTTGCTTGCCGCTTTATTGTATTGTTCTAGTTTTTTGCTTTCGTAGAATATTTTAGTACTCTCTGTTTTTAAGGATATACCATGCACTGTGTTTCTGTCATTGTATGTTTCTTAAAGGTCTCTATTTGATTTATTACTTTATTCGTTAGCTAAACTAGTTGTTTTTATTTTTTTAAGCGTTTTAAGTTAATAGTTTTTCATTAAATGTTCACATATTTAATCATTTTGAATGTAGGTTACATATTTTGTAGCAAGTGCATTTGTGAAAATATTTCTTCGAGAAAAACTGTATCCTTCGAGTAATATTTTTTTAAGTTTGGCAACAGAAAACAATTTCACATATTATTTACTTACACAAATTTTACGTGGCTAATAAGATGAATAATCGATCAATTCGTATTGCAGTTAGTATAATTTTGATTGTGCAATGGCTGTCTTGTGGACGGGTGCGTTGTCTTGGCGCAGGAGGATTTTTTAAGATAAATTAGAAATTTTTGTCTAAAATTTGCGTCGAAACTGTCCCAATAGAGTTGTATATAAAACGCTAGGTATTTCATACACTGCTGTTACTTCGTATCCGGCCTGTAGAAATGGCCCTATGTTTCATCTAAAGTCATGTATCGATGAAGAAATCCTTCGAATTACATTTTATCATTGTCAAATGAATCTAGAGTCCAACGTACCTTTTTTTGACAGTGATCAACTGCATGTTCGTGTATAATATTTTATACAAGCTCATCCTTTATATGTTTACAGTACTATATCACGAATTGTCAATGTATCACGTGATTGTCAATATATCACGAATTTTGAGTCTATGATATCCAATGATCTTAGAATAGAGTTTATTCATGATTTCTGAGGCACTTAAACGTTCATCATCAAATACATGTACGACCGTTGATAAATTTAGCTTCCAAATTTCACTGCTTTCAGAGACGGTGCAGATGCAAAGCATTAATTTCGACTTTGATTTTTTTCCGTTCAAGGAAACGTACTTAGTACCTATAACTAAACCCCGTTCATCTGTTTCCGTTTAAAAAGAACACAAAAGTTGCTGGTTTTTGTTACATATGATAACTTGCTTACTATGGTATTTTTTTATCCACCATAAAACCTTTCTGCAAAATGATTCCCATATTGGCATCCCTTAACTTTTTACTGCTTGATCAATGATCAAAGTCACTAAATCCTGGATTACCATCTATTATATTGTTAACAATCATTTTTTAATTATTATTTAGCGTATTTTACCGGTAGTTTCTTTTTCTTGAAATTATTACAAAACAAATAACGTCTTGTCTTAAAATTCCACTACAATTTCAAGTTAGATGATACAAAATGAGATTGAATGTGATTGTCAATATCTGTGTATTGCTTCAGATGGATCACATCTATTCAATATTGAAATTTGGTGCCAAAGATTCCAACCAGGTAAGTCACTTTCGGATGTGATTGAGATGTTTCATCGGGTGATGTTAACGGCTATTTTGTATCATTTGTTTTCGGAAAATTGCACATTTTGTTAAATGAGGTTTAATAACAATTTAATACGTAACAATTTAAAAGCTTTAATTGTTTTTTTTTTAATTATGTTGTGAACTTTTTGTACAGGAAAAACTAGTGGCTTATATTTTAACATTCAATTGATTGAGTTCTGTTATATATATATATATATATATATATATATATATATATATATATATATATATATATATATATATATATATATATAGATAATTCAATATAAGGTTGAATGTTCGAATAATTAAACTTTGAGGGTATACAAGACAAATCATACATGAATCATCATTCTGTCTCCGGCTTCTATACAACATGTAGCTTCTCCTTAAAAAATTTTTAAAGTGTTTGTTTGTCTTAGTGTATTGTATTTTGTATTGTTATGTCCAAATTTTACATTTATGACATTCTACTATGTCGGATAGGCCACAACTGACGAAATGCCCCTGAAGATGATCTATTGATTGAAAGTACTTGGGCAAGATTAAATTAATCACCGTGTTCGATAGTTGCCTTGTATACCCTCAAAGTTTAAATAGATAATTAATCCGCTAATACTCTCCTTTATATGGGACCCAACTTCCAACTTCTAGATTCGACTTTGTATTCAAAACATTGCATACTTTTTTTACAACGTATCAGAAGTAACGTGGTTTGATTTTAAACATGTTTAGGATCCTTTCTGACATGCATCCTATCCTGTCGTTAGATGATTTGATGACTCAAGTGTTTGAACTTTCTCCTTTTATAGAGACTTGTATTCCTGATTTTTTGTCCTCCGTGCATTATTTTTCATTTGTCACGCTTTTAAATAATTTATTATCTGATGATAATACTATATTTCAGTTTATAAGAAATCGTGAGTTCCAATCTACCGGAGTTGACTGTTGTAGTTTTAAAGTCGAACGCAGATCTGTAGGCTCAAATTGTATCAAAATGGAGAGCCACATAAAATAAAAAGAATAAAATGAAAATTAATATGTTTGCACCCCAGAAACAGGACTATTTTTAATAGCAGGGAACAGTCCATAGCTTACGCGGATGTGGTGATACTTGCGAGAACAAAAAAACCTTTAGAAAAAGTTTTCCCGAAATTTGAAGAGGAATCTAAAAGAAACGGATTTATAATAAACCAAACAAAACGCAATCTATGGAAATGAGAGGAGACATAACAAATAATAATAAATATATTAAAATAGAAGGAGCAGAGACTGTCTATAGTTTTGAAAAAGTCAGAATTTGAATACTTAGGAGTAACCATGACGAACATGGGAAAGGAAGAAAAAGCGATAAGCCAAAGGCTAATGAAGGGAAGCAGAGTGATAGGGTCACTAAATTCATTACTGAAAGCTAAAAATGTGTCCAAAACAGCTAAACTGCGAGTCTACGAGACAGTAATCAGACCCACAGTGATGTATGCCAGTGAAATGAAAAACCAGCAACTACGACAAAAATACGAGCTCAAAGAGCTAGATGGCTTGGTCACATTATACGAATGCCCGAGAATCGAAATGTTAAAACTATACTGAAGGAGTTAGAAATGGTAAAAAAAGAAGAGGACGTCCAAAGAAGACATTTTTGGAAGCAGTATATATATATATATATATATATATATATATATATATATATATATATATATATATATATATATATATATATATATATATATATATATATAATTTGGGCCAGTTTATCAAAATGAGATAAACATAGTTTAAGGCTCAGATACATGTTTATGACTGAACTGTCAGGAAAGCTGAAAGATATATAGACAGGGGTTTTATAAATACTAAAACATTTTGTCATATTTTATTTCTTGTTATGTAATCTTTATGACCCTTCGGAAATCAAATTAAACGAATAACTTTTTTTTCGTAAAATTATGTTTAATTTATGATGAAAGTACGGGTCTTTAAGGGTATTCGGTGTTCTTGATACTGATTTTTATGGTATATATAGCTCTTCATGGAGTATCAATGATATTGACCATATTATTTAAGATAATCTTTCGTCATTACTTAACTTTCGTTTCTCTCTGAGAAGGAAAAAGCATATTAAAAGGTACCCTCATATATACAGTTCCTAATTTGGTACATAAAAAGTTCACAAGAATAATTGCCTGGCACTGTTACATAAAGGTAAATTTGCAATTTTTATTCAAAAAGTAATTTTCCGAAACTGCAATCGTGGTCCATCTTGTATAAAAACGACAATCATATGTGATCTATTTCAATCAATAACAGATAATACTGCTTTAGTTTTAAGTTGTATATAAATGTTGATGCTTTTACAGTGAAAAACAATAGGGGAAGGAATACAAGAATAACTAGAATGAATCGTTAAGTTTTGTCATTGTTTCCATGCTTTTGCACTAGTAATGAAAAACATTAAAATGTATGTTATTCCTAAATGCGTAAATAATAACAATGATGACTAAAAGTACCTGGTTGGCATTATAATCAGCTGGATAAACGTATACAGGGTCATTGTTTACAGTTACACATGCGCGTTTAGTATCCTGAACCATTGATGCCAATCTGAGTGAAAACTTTAGTGAAAAATTAATAAAACCTATGGCAACCACATATTTCCCATTTAAAAACAATCAGTCAAAGATTATTCTTGTATTTCTTGAATTTCCTTGATTTTTAAAATATATATTTATTACAGATTGTTTATGGTTTTTTTTGTATTATATCATGTTTCCATAGTTGCATTTAATAACCTCTTGGATTTAAGTTGTTGTTTATATTTTCCAAAATATATTATACAACTAAAATTCAAACTCATTAATACACTAACCATTTCATTAATAACGGCACGTTACGCTGTGGCTAAGCACACGTTACATTTGAATTTTTAGCACAATTCAAGCTTGAGTTTTATATTTGTGTGACTAAATTTATAACACAGAGGGTTTAAAAATATAATATATTAAAATTATAAATAATATTTTTTAAAATAACGAAAGGTAAAACAATAGTCAGGGGCGTAGACTGGTTCATCCCATGCAAAATCTTAAACACGGCAAAAATGTTGTCAGCAACAATATCTCTGGACAGCAGTGACACTGCTTTTCATCGGCTCGCAACGTATATAACGGTGGTTTGTCGGAACATCGACTTGACAAAACTGTCACCACCTTATCTTCCCAATGTTTCTAATTGGAACACCACATAAGCTGTTACAAGGTGACAACACGTCGATTAAAATATATATATATATATATATATATATATATATATATATATATATATATATATATATATTAATATTATATGGACATTTAAATTGGTGTAAGTGGAGCTTTAAAAAAAGTAGATTGGCCAACGGACACCAATATTATCTACAATATATACAAAACTGCAGCAACTACGGTAAAAATTCGTAAAATCACCGAAAATAAATTTCCTATCATGTCAATAAACAACACAAGTAGTAAAGATATTCAAACCTTTATGGTTTACACAATATTAGAAGTGGCAAAGAAATCATAGATGGCGTATGTACAAAAAATGCTACATCGGTTCAACATCAACGCTGACGAATTCCATAAATAAATATCTTCTGCAAACACAAAAAGTGTAATAATATTGAAAGGTCCAATAAGGTACAAACTCGTGATTGAAAATCAAATGGTAGAACAAGTGACAACAATATTGATCTGAAGCTATTATGGCATTTTAATCTGATGTTCTATCTTTAATGGGAATTAATCACAATTTCAGTTTAAAATACGTTTATTTCCATTTAGGAAATCGTTCTCAAAAGGCAAATTAAACTGTATCCCTTCGTTAATTTGGTGCAATCTCCATTTCAGTTTCTCTTTATTAGTTCCTGGTACCATTTCCAATCCAGTGGATTATATTTAATTTATCTCTCCAGATTTGATCTCGGTATCCTTACGTCGTGCTTTCTGGAATCTTATCCTGCTTCTACATGCTCCTACCTTCTCCATCCATATACGTAATGGAGGGAGGTTAAGTATGACCTCTAGAGAGATGACCACCATAACTGGCTAGTCAGTTATATATAGCCAGTACATATGTTTGGGGTTCATATATCATGTTTTCCCATATATCCTTCGACGTGTCCAAAGGGAAAGCATTACTTTGTGGATACAACCATGTTATAAAGAGAATATAGGAAGATAAATATTCATATCTCCGTCATTTACCATCCTATTATATGAATTTCGGAATCTTTCTCTCATCAGATAATGCAATGTTCGAAGTGAAAAATCTAAATTAATTATTCGGACATTTTATTGAAAATATTTGACACCAACTACGACCTTAAGAGAAAAGCACAGAGAACGTCATTGTATTAGATTTGTTTTTTTTTATCAAATTTATATTTGATCAATTTTTTTAATCCTGTTAGATAGCTAACATGATTTTTGATAATATTGGATCATTGCCAGTGTTCGTAACTACCTATTGCGTATTTATGATTCACGATGATGTTAATATCTTGATCCATGATGATCATGGAGTATTATTGGCAGTCCACATTATACATTTTTGAGATTTTGCACGGTGATATCGGCCGTATTGAGCATTCTGTTTCCTTTATTACGTGTACACAACTTAAAAGTTATTTTAAAAAATTGGTTAAAGATTTAATTGTTAGGCTTAATTTTGCCTAAATATAAATCAAATAAAACGTGGTACAACACCCAGCGTCTACAACACTCATTGTTTCAGAAATGGTACTTTTATATAACCATTTTTAAAACAGCTGAAGTTCACTATAGCTTATATTTTCCTTTTGATAAATTATTTCTAACTCGTGTGTCATAATAATTGTAGACGTAACAAACTAAGTTAACAAAATTATTAACAATATTAAATATGTAGTAACAATAATGTAGAATAAAAATATTATCTTTGTTATTAACTGACTAAACAAAT